TGGAACGACCTCAGATATATAAACAGTACTTAATTTAATTAATTATTAAAAAGAATTTAACAGATTTAACAGTAGTGTAAATGGATACAGTCACTGCCCTCCAGCTAAAAGTTGTCACCATTTGAAAAGACACAGAAGCGTGGGAGTTGGAGAGGCAGACTTCTTGTGCCTTATCCAATCCAGTGGGAAAGAATAGTTCTGGGACATGATCAGGTTGGAATTTATCTACTCAGAGAAGTACCTAGAACTTTTAAAAGTTCTTGGAAGGGGCTGGTCTCTAAACCGCAAACAACCTCAGCGATAACTAAGTGCACTCAGGACGCACCTGCAAAACAAGGGCAGGCAATTGCATCATTCCTCCCTCCTACATTTTGTGAGAGAGTTCACGCTGGTACCAAGGAATTCTAGCTTGACTCCAAGCTCAGGGCCTATTGAGAAGCAAAGAATATTAGCTCATTGCAACACTAATATGGCTTTACAGTTTCAATGAATCCTCTGCAGCTGTGGGATGACCAAAATTACTCCCAGAGAAACTCCATGAATACTGCTGAAAATCTCTTGGCATTCTGCCCTAAAAAGTACATCTGAAATTGTTCAGTCCAGTGCAGTTCAGCTATGGGAAATTTTAAGAAAAAGTTCTGCGACTTGGGATGTGGGTGTGATTCATCCTGCTTTGGGCATAAAGACAGCACTTTCACACTACCTTAAATATTCATTTACAACTGAAAGAACTTCAGATTTTTTTCATAAAAATCACTGGCTTTTAAAAAGAGAATCAACATCTCTAGTAAACTGTCCAGAAACCCATGCATACGATCATTAGCTAACTGGAATCAGAAACTCTTGAAATATGTACTAACATTTCTGCTTTACTTTAAGTAACATAGTAAAGGAAAGTCCTTCCTTGCATTGTTTAATAAGGAATGCTTACCTACCCCATTTTTCTTGTTACAAGTCTTGGATAGTACCCAACAGAGGGAATTAACTTTTGTACATTATGTTTGCAGATTTTTTTTATTTTCCTTTGAAATGGTCCTGTTAGCATAGATAGCATTGTTCCAGTGGCTTCCTTTCTTCCTGAAGGATGGATGAATAAGAAAATTACCTTTTTATTACTCATAAGGGGCAGATTTAATGCACTGTATAATTCAGTATGGGTAAAGATTACTAGTATACAATATCAGTGGTAATTTTGTAAATGATGCAAGTAGATTACAAGAACATTTTTGAACACAGATCTCAATAAAAACAAATCAGTTTTTGATGCCAAGAAGACCAAAAAATGATGTATGAAAGGGGAAATATTCTATTTTAGGTACAGCTGATGCTAAAATATCAAACATAAAGAACTATTGTCAAAAGTATCAGCAAAAGTGGATTTATTGAAACTTGTAAAAGTGCAACTTTTACAAAAAAATTCAACAAGGTTTACTGTATTACTTACTGCACAAAGAATCTAACAATGACTCAAAGCTGCCAATAGAAAAATCAGAGGAGCCAAGACAGAAAGCTTAGTGTGCTATAATACCAGGTAATGCATGGTATCTGTCACTTACCAAAGACCTGCAGTTGGTGGGAAGTCTCTCTGCCTTGAGGAGCAATCATGAGAGGTGTCCCAGCTCAAAGGGAGATTCCATGCAGCCAGTTGCTCAGCAGGGAGAGCTCAAAAGATGCTCAGTTAGGCCGTCATATTCATGGAATAAAGTTGTTGGCTTGTAGCCAAACTGCAAGCAATGGGATGGGTATGCATGAGACTTCTTGCATCCACAACATCCACAACTTTCCTTGTTCCTTGACAAAGGAATTTTAGAAAAGTCACCTGCTATTAATGTGTTATTCACAGATCAGTGATCCAAGTTCATATGCACCAGTGCTCATCCGCGTCACTCCGTTCCTTTGTGGATTTTCAGAGAACAGATTGGAACTACAGAAGTTCCTGGCCTAGTTATGGCTTAGGCTGTTACCCCCTTTTGGAGCCTGTACTAGCTATCCCTAGTCTGGTTGAAGAGTTGAGTGTATCTGTCAAACTCAGCCAGTTTGTCCAGGTGCTTTCAGCCAGGCACAGAGACTCTATAAGAAGAATACACATAATTCAAAATAAATCAGTTAGTTACTGGCTAACAGAGAGAAGAGCTGGGTAGAGTTTAATAAGCTACCAGACAAAGCATTAGTATATTTGCCACTCATGTTAAGCTATCCAAGAAGTCCTTGCTGGGCAGGCAGGCATGAGTCAAAAGGGAAGGAGCCACTATTCATCTATCCATGGCTCTCTGGAAAGGAAACCCAACACTGCCAACCTGCAATCCTCCACCAGCTGCACCAACATTGACAATATAACATAAGGATTGACAACAAGTTCCCAGTTAGACTGGCTAGCTTGACAAGGCTTCTCCAGGTGATTTTTACCTTTGTGATTTTATACCTTTCCATGCTGGTATTTTCCCTCTGAAACCTCTGAACATCAACATCTCACGTCAGCAGCCCAACTTTCAAATTTCTCTACTGATGGCAGACTTTCATACCTGTCTGGATCAAGATTATGCAGCTGTGTCATATCAGAGATGACATGTACACAGACAACTCAGCACCTAGGAGAGGTGGGGTAAAATTCAGAGCTGTGGTTACAAAGAAGGAGTGTGCCAGGTTGGACTAGATGTCTTCTAGGCCCTTCCAAACTACAAAGCTATGATTTGGTATATAGAGAACTTTGGTATCTAATTTTAGATTCTGTAGATTCTGTGGTACTTGACACATTGTGTGTGCTGCCAGGCTCTTTTGTGGATTTACCTTTGTTCTTCTCTTTCTACTTCAGTTTTCTCTTCTCAAACATGAGAAACTTGGTAACCTGCATTTTGAAACACTTTATGACTAGGCATGAAATTCCTTACAGACATTATTCAATAACTTATTAGGGGTTCTGGGTACTAATTAATACCTTGAACATTATTTCTAGATAGCAGTGAATTCATACATTCATAAGTAAGCATTCGAAGAGTATGCTAACGCATTGTTTATTCTGGATCTTATGGATCCTGTGGATCACTGTGAAAGCAGTATCAGAGTCTATCACTGCTACCCAAAAAGAGAGGCAAGAGAGAGCCACAGCAGAGTCAAAATGATTCAGAAAATGTTAAATATATAAATGGATTTTAACAGGTATCTCCACTAGAGGTGTAAAAGAAAAATATTTTCAAACACAGATGAGAGTGCTCAAAGCAGAAAAATGAGATAATACATTACCTTTAAAATAGTATGTGCAAAAATTTTCTAACTCGTTTTATGTATTGCATATCATTCAAATCCCACTTCCAAATATACAGCTGATACATTTTCAGGAAGCTTCGCCAATTATACTACCCATAAATACTAGAGAAAAGAACTTACTAGCATATTGAAGAGAACTGTTAACCAACATAAGAGAAAAAAAAAGGCAAAAATTTTGGCATCCCATTTTAGATATCTGTGATTTGCATTTTCAGTAAAACTAAGCAGTTAGATGACCTTTCAAGTGCATACTGCTCTGAGTCCTGACACAACAGTAAATGTCCTGTCGTGGTGCCTCTAGACCAGCATGCAGGCAATGAAAAATGAGTAACTAGTGACCCTCTGTGAAAAGTTCAGTTTACATGACTCACACAAGATGCACAGGAACTCTTGAAGCAATAGACACAATTCTCCAGAATAAGGCTCTGAAGAACAGAACTATCCTTTGTTTGAGTAGAAATAACTTGTTTGAGTAGAAAGCAAAATCTCATAAGAAAATGGAATACCTGACTAAGAAGCAGGGTGTTACTTGACAGAGTGAAGTATGAGAAATCACTGCAATAAAATGTGGTAGGGAACAATTGGCTAGACAGCAATTCAGAAGAGAAGGGTCAAGGTGCTAAAGTCGTTCACAAGCAATGTGTAAGTGAGCCACACTACACTATTACAAAAAAAAAAAATGGCAAATTACATATTGGGAGCTACAAAAAGTAATATAGCCTATAAGGCTGAACTTTGCACATCACATCTTCCTGACCAAAAGCAACCAAGCTTCAAGAATACGTGATAATCCAAAAGAAAGTAAGGAAAGCAGTATCCTAATAAGTATGCTACATTTAACCTATAAACATAGCTTAGGAAAAAGAAAATAAAACACAGAACACCTCTTTCATGTAGAAGTGCTACAAACTGGAGAAACCTTTACCATGAACACCCTGGCAAGGATAAGCAACAGCTTTACGCAAAACTTTCTTGTGTCACACTGTACCTCCCTGACTAAGACCAGTCAGCTGGGGACCCTCAGATGAAGGGCAGGGCAACAGATACAGTCAATTCCTGGTCTCCCTTGATGCTTTATGTGATATTGGGAGTGAAGAGTTTAACCTTACTCAACGTGGTTTCTGAGAGAGATTCCATGCGATAGCTGCATGCGGGAATGTGGAGCTGCACCAGATTGGTTATGACCCCGAGCCCCTCTGCAAGTACCAGGACACCTCCTCCTCACCCCGTTTGCCTTCGTGGCCAAAGGGACCGCTCCAGCCTCCCGGAGCCAGACCAGGGAGACACAGGTACCTCGGGCCACGACACCAGAGATGAAGGAGCCTTGGAGACATCATTCCTGCCTGCGGTTTCTGTCTGCTGGGAACTTGAAGGGTTGGGGAAGTGTCCATTCTCTGCCCCTCGCGGCTACCCCTGCCTGTCCCCCTGTCCCTGTTCGGCTCCCCCTCCGGCTCCCCGCCCGGACCCTGCAGCCCCTCCAAGCCCCGTGGGCACCACGGGCGCCTGGAGGAGGGGACGGAGGGCAGCCCGTATCCTGCCCTCGGGAAGCCAGCCAAAGGAATAGGCCGCTCTTCCCGGAGAAACGGGGAGGGAAATTCCCGAAGCCCAGCTCACCCGGCTCGGCGAGGTGGGAGGAGGCACCGCCCTACCCGGGGAGGGGCGGCCGAGCCGCTTCCCGGCACTGCCCGAGGGGCCGGCGCGTCCCGGCTCGGGGCGTCCCGTCTATGCCCGGTCCCGAGGTGGCTGCGCTCGGCTGCAGGTGAGTGATGCCGGTGTTCCCTCTCCCTCGTTCCCTCAGCAAAGCCCCACTCCTCTCCCCTGCCCTCCCTCGGAGGTCCCGTCCGCCCCCGGCGAGCTCCGCTCACCCTGCCCCGCCGAGGAACACCCACCTTTCCACCGCGGCGCTTGTTTTGAAACGCGCTGTGGACTATCTGCTTTGAATTTTAGCCCTTCTGGTGCCCGCTAGGCCCTCTCCACCCTTTGCTCTTCCTTCAGCCCGTGTTCTCCAGGCACCCCTCGACACGAGTGGGTGGGCTTGAGTGCGGGGAGCCGAAATTTCATCCTCCCGAGAACCCGCCAGTATCATCACACACCGGTGAATTTAAGGCCGTTTATGACCGCCTAGCCTTTTATACTTTCAAGATGTCACTGCTTAGCTGCAGCTTAAAAGCTCCTGAATTGACCTGAGCAAAAATTACTTAGGTGAGGTATCTCGTGGGACGAGGATGCTAGACCGGCCAGGTGATTAGGTTTGGTTTTAACATCTCCTGTTCCTGCTGATTCAGTAAGACTTCCGGACCTTTAAATCCGGCATCATACAGAGAAAAATTCTTGCTCTTAATTTCTTTTAAGCTGCTGAAATCCATTGTTTAATTTCAAAATCATTGGAGTAAGTGAGAAAACATCATAAATTCTAGTCTGGTTCCTGATTTTTTAGAGTTTGACTTTTTTTTTTTTACACATTTTTTTTTCCTTAAAACTTTTTTGGCATAACCTTTTTATTTCTCTTTCTATCTAAATATTGCATGCCTAGACAAGTCCCTACTCCAGGACAGTAAACTAGATCCTAACAGAGGTAAGAGTAGATGATGCCTGAAAAACACGGTAAAATTATTTTTCCTGTTGTATGAGTCATGCCACCATGTTATGTGATTCTTTCTCTACAATTCTTAACATTCTTTTTCTGATAGAGCAGGAGAAGAGTAGTTTTACACAGTTTGTTAATTGCTTCAGTTTTAGACCCCATTTTTCCCCCATTTTAACTTTTTTGGCTCTTTTGTTCAGATTCTAGTCTTTGTGGGACCACGAAGAACGTGTTTTCTTACTTTGGCAAAGCTTTTTAGAAAATCAACAGAATGCAATTAAGAGCTTTCTGTTTACCAAAACACAGGAAATAAAGCTACCTCTAAGTGGTCAAATTATTACGCACATATCAGACCTTAATTATAGAAGCAACTTTCTTCCATGTGCAGCTTTTTAAACTTCTTGCTCACCCATTAGATTTCAAAGGCTTATCAGGAGCTTTAATTGTGTTATGCATAGATGTATTTTGTGCACTAAGTGTAACTGAAAACATCTTTAAAAGAAGAAGGTAAGTACAAGGACTAATGAAAGGATTAATCCACTTTAGAATGTGGTATCTCAGCTGTTGCCTTTTTTCTTTTTCATAACTGTTGAAAAGCAGATACTCTATAAAAGTGTGATGTTTATTTTGAAGAGGGTTCTATTTAGTTGTAGGATGTTTTAGCAGATGTTACTTTACCAACTCTCCCTAGGTTCCTGATGGTTAGACACTGCTCCCTCTTTCAGTTAAAGCTGCCTGAGCTGGATGTCAGGTCTGCACTGCTGATTTTGCAAAGGATATACTGGGAATGGCAGGAATCAGGAGAGTGGAGGCACACTATTTTGTAGGGTCTTTTACAAATCACTGATTTGGGACGTTCTGGTCCTTCTGAAAGATACCTAGTTATCTGTTTATTTAAGAGGAAAAGAAACACATCAGGAGGGTAAGTTAATCTACTGGACAGGCTTACTTTCTAGGGGTGCCTGTTTGGAACCTATGGAAAGAGCTTATTAGGTTTTGGCACTTAAATGTCACTCAAATGTTATCAATCTTGTGTAGTAGGAACTTGGATTGTGATTCCTATCCTCATGAAATAGAGGAAGTTAAAACACAAGATGAACTGTGGATTTATATAAATCCAAATTAGTGTTATTACTGTAGTTGCCCCACTGACAGTCTTCTTCCTTGTCTGGTTTAGAAAAATTTGTTTGATCCATGGTGGTTATGATTTGATATCCCTATCTAATACTCTAGTACTTTAAATAGATTAAGTTTTTTGAAAGCTAGCCACCGAAAAAATTTCTTTTCCCAGGCTGTGTAGAGGCTGTGGTTCATTTAAGGATATGGCTTGTGTTGTTATGGCCTTGTTACAGCAGCTGTTTTAAATAAGCAAAGCAAGGGGCACTGAGAAAGGAAAGTTGTATGAAATATGATTTGAAATATGTGCCTGTAGGAAGATTGCTACAAAACAGATTAACTCTGCAGTCAGCTATGACTAGATGTTCACAGGAGGGGCTTCCTTTCCATACACATCCAGGTATGCCAGGTACTGCAGCAGTGTGTGCATCATATGGCTCCAACTCCCAGCCAATGACCCCTGGACACTGCAAGCCTGATATTGTAAGAAGTTTCAGTTGAATTTTGGTTCTTCAAATACTTCAAAGAGGGGTTTGATGAAATGTTTATCTTAGGTGTGTCTCACAGATGAATAATGAGAATTTCTTTTTCCTCTCATCTCTGGCATCACAAAAGCATTGGCCTCGACAGGACCACAGGGATCAGCTAAGCCAGACTTTTGCTCTGAATAAGAAATAGATAACATGGAGATATTTATTTAAAATATTCACAGACTTTAGGATATTTCATTTACTCACAGGTAATTTGCTTCTAATTCTTGCTGTCTCTACTTCTTGAGTGATTCTTCTTTAATTGTCAGGTCTCTGAACAATTCCTGTTGCTTCTGAATATTATTGCAATTTCTGTCAGATCTCCAAAATGGTTCTGTTCTGTTGAAGGATCTGTCAGTGCTGATTAATTTCAAGTTAGGCTAGGGAGACCTGAATCCATCTGTATCTAAAGTTTTGCCACACTCCAGGTTACATTTTCCAACAGGAAGAATTACCAATAGACTATACAGTCATGATTTTAAAAAAATCTATCAGTAATTTAGGCTACAGACTGATGAAACCAAATAGGTCTGCTTTATTTCCCCCACAGATTTTTAATTTATGAAAGGGGAAAGAATATAGAGTAAAATGAAAGATTCATTGCTCAGCCAACTTCTGTAGGTCTAACAGATCATTTTGTGCCCAGCTGACTTCAGTTTGCAACTTAGTGCTATCCCCCATTTTATAGATAATTTCTCAATGTGTCTCAATAACCAGGTTCACAGAAAATAGAGCTGTAATTAGTTTGGCTGTTGATGGCAGCGGATTGGAGCTTAGTGATTATTTCCTTCTATTTGGCACATATGAGACAATGTCTAAATTACTGTGTGCAGTTTTGGGCTCACTGTACAAAGAAGGCTGAAAGGACAGAGCTAAGATTTTTGCAGAGGTGTGCAGCAAAAGGGCAAAGGAAATGGGTGCAAATTGCACCAAGGAAAATATAAGGAGAAATATGAATATAAGAAGAATATAAAAAGATATTCTCTTTAAATGAACATAAGGAGAAAATGAATGTTTGAATATGAGGAGAAAAAACCCTCACAGGGAGGGTGGTGAAGCACTAGAGCAAGTCACCCAAGGGAAGCTGTGGAATCTCCATTCCTGGAGTTCTTGAAAATCAATTGGACAAACTGCTCTGCGATTTTGTGATAGGCTGAAAAATGCCTTTCCAAAATTATCTCAATGACAAAAGTAGCTAGAAAGGAAATAAAGTATTCAAATAATGTGTTTTCAGACAATATTCAGAATTGCTGACAAAGAGGTTCTTGCTCTTATCTGCAATTCATGGACCAAAGTACACATATATTTCAGGTTGGAGCATGGTGACAAAACATATCTTCTCTTAGGCTTAAAAGGAAAGAGTCACCAGTAATTAATTCTCAGATTAACAGTGGCAGAATGGTGTGATATTCATATCTTTTCAGACTGGCCCCTTTCAGGGTGATGAATTGCTTAGACACTTAACCTTCCCTGGCTACCTGTCTTCCTTCCCTTTGTTGTTCAATTATTTTCGCTTTTGGCAAGGATGTTGGTAATTTACTATCATCATGTTGTTGTTGCTGTTTTGATGAAATTGATAATGTATTTTATAAAACTGTAACCAAGACACAGATTTTTAAACTATTATTTTATAAAAGTACTTAATTATTCATAAGAGAGAATAAGTGCTTGATATTAGTTGGTGGTAAATGTGATGTGTGATTAATTTGTTAGTTGCAGGCAGATGCTTCTGCATAAAGATGATGTAATGCAAAATATTACTCATATTTCTGTTACCATATTTCTTTTTTCCTAAGTAATGTTTCATTTATTTAAATTAACTTCATATTCTCTTTTGTTAGTGAATTCTAGGACTTCCGTGATGACAACTGGTTTATTGCCTACAATTGCACATATTACCACTATTTATTTATTATGCAGTTTTAAACTAGAATAATAACATACTGAATAGTGAAAACCATTGGTATAATCCAAAATATGTTTATATTTTGGTAATAATTTATTATATTACACTGCCCTTTAGTAGCATAAGACATTTTCACCAGTAAAAGTGATCTAGACAGTGTCATTTGTGAACTGACAGTGGAAATGACTGGAGCAAGATAGTTACACTAGACATTTGTTTCATAACAATAATGGAGAATGCCTCTTAAAAGTGTAAAGGAGTTTAGATTTGTTTTCTAAATAGGATGTAATTTAAACAAATAGTCTAGTATGTCATTACTTCCACCGCACTTTCCCACTGTATTTGCTGTCGAATTTAAATGATGCCTAATAAATATGGCAAATTTTGTGTATCTAATCCCAAAGATGTTTACAAAATTACAAGTCCTGTGGGGCCAGCTTTTCATCATGCTCATATAATAAACTCAGAAGATATATTGCTGAATCTAACTGACCACCCTTGTGTTAAATTGTTTTAGAGCAGAAGTCCCTTGACTTCAAGGCAGTTGTATTTTCACTGTTTTTCCAAAGAAAAGAGGAAGGAAAAAAAATATTCAAGATTTGGGTTTGTGTCTCAATATTAATGTCAAACAATTCAAAAGAATAACAATCTACTAAAGAGCTATCAGAAGTTTTAACATAATCTGCTTTCGAAGGACTTTTTGTGTTACTCGCATTCTCTGCTCTGTGAGAGTCATTCTATCTTGTTTATTCCAGGAAAAAAATAACAAATTATTTTACCTTTAAGATATAAAATTTGATCACAAAAGACAAAAGAGTCTAAATTTAGAAAATCTAGGAAAAAAACATCAGATTTCCCTAAACCAGTTCTTGAAACAGTCTGTTAGTTGCATGTGAATTAGGTCTAACTTCTCAAAAATATTGTGATTCTTCATACATGTTGATTTTAGTGTTATTTAAATACTTTTGAGGATATTGGTGTAATGGCAAGAAAGACTGCAGAAGCTTATACATCGGGCAAGGCAGCAGTCACACGTTAAGTGCAGGGCCCTCAATGTGAAGCATTTGAACTCACAAGGAGAATTTGGGGCATGCTGCAGCAAGGATGCCTGCTGTGTATATTGAACGCTGGGTTACAGTGCTGCATGCAGGACTCTTCTACACAGTGTTCATGGGACCTTTAAAAACACATTAAAAAAAAAAAAAGAAATTGGAATCTGCTGATCCTTTGGAGAAATTCAGAGCTTCTCAAAACTATTGAACGTAATTAAATTTGGTAAAGAGTCTATGGGTCTGAGGTATTAAATTGGAGGTTTTCTGCTAGGAATAAATTATGTGCTGAATTCCTGGCCCTTCTGAAATCAGTAAATGTTCTGTCCTCAGCTTTATTTTATGGGGACAGGTCATTCTGGTTATCTGCTGCTAACCATTTTCAACTTCTGTTATGGAAGCAGTGATAGAAGACTCACTTTATCAGTATTCTACACAGTTCCAGGAATGTAAAACATAGAAGTTTTAAGTTAAAGATAGCTATATCCATTGTCCTCTTCCTGTTGTTTGTACTCTGGTACCCTCTCTGCCTGAGATCTTTAACCATACTGCTGCTGAATTCTTTCCTCTCCTTTCTGCAGAGGGGAATTTGCAGGTGATTCATGTCTTCTGAGATCTGACATACAATCAGTCCTGCAGAACTGGGCTGTGCAAGTCAAACACAATTTCTTTCATTCTGTCAAAATATGAGTGTAAAAGCTGCAAAAGGAATGTTAGATAGAGCTCTGTGTTGCTTGAGATGACAGTCCTGGAATTTGCTAAGACTTTGATATGTGTATTTCAACTCCAGTTTAACTAAAGCCCTCCATATAGTGTCCTCCTTTTTTTCCTTGTTAGGATGGATAACTTGTTACCTGTGCAGGAGGAAAGCCAAAATATATCAGGAGAAATGTTTGTTTCAGTATTTCTTTGAAATAAGTGAATGGAAAACTTAGTTTAGTGATTTATTAGTTTAGATTAAATTGAACTTTTGACTATAGTGTTTCCCACTGTGCTCTAACCAGGTCCTAAAACCAAGAATGTTTTTTTTATTCCCTATCCTTCTTTGTCCATTCTTCCTGAATTTATCTTAAACTGCCTGGAGTTCATGTGATTAGGTTTTTATTTGTTCATTCTTAAATACAGTAATATTATCTAGTCTATTGTTTGGCATGCATTTCTTCTTAGAAAGAAAACAACAAACAAATAAATAAAAATGTCTTCTTTGCTGATAAGTCTTGTGCAGGAAAAAGTGGACAAAGGATGAATCACTTCACGGTTCTGGCACTGCTGCTCCCCCTACAGACTTGCTACGCTGCATACTCACAGCAAGGTAAATGTCTGAATGTTTGATTTTTTTTGTTTTTTATTTGAAACCAATCAACAGCAGTTTGAGGCTTTGGACTTGCTTACTTTTAAGTCTATGATTAAGCAACACTTAATAAATGATTCTCTTTTGTTAGATGGTGGAGCAACTTGTATTATTACCTTTTGTGACCCCATTATGCAAAATTGCCTGTTGAATCAATGACTTGCAAAGATACGAAGCCAAAGTGTATTTATTTATTTGCTTCCCCTCTCTCTTTTTTTGACTTTTTTTAATGATTCCATTAGAAGGGACAAAAAAAAAAAAAAAAAAAAAAAAAAAAAAAAAAAAAAAAAAAAGAAAGAAAGAAATTGACTTTTCTGTGACCGTGGTTAAGAAGGCAGACCTTACCTGGTTCTAGTCTACATTATGGAAGTTTTATTGCCTTAGTTAAGTTGGCGAAGAAGGAAGTGAGATGGTTTGTTTTTTGTTTTGTATAAATATATTTTTTATCATTCTGAAAGGGGTAATGTATCTGTTTCAGACATTTTACCTCTCTTCAGCCTTGAAATTTGTGTTTTCACACACCACTCACCCAAGGTGCCAGCTCTCCAGTTTTGAGACTTTATTACCTGTGCTCGTAGAGTGGCAAAACTTTGTAATGCAGGCAAGTCCAAACAGTTACTGCATTACAGTAACTTGGTCACTTGTTTTCACATGCAATTGTTCAGGAATAAAATTCGTCTCTGCTGTTAATCATTAAGCTATTCACGTAGTCTTGAGTTAGCTTTCAAGTTAAAACAAGTCTTAAAGAGGCCTTGATCATTTCAGTTGGCTAAGAGGGGAATATTATAACTGAATGCTACAAATGTTTCTACGTGTTAAAATTATGCTTTGAAATTCTTTCATACCCACGTTGTAACTCAATGGCCATCAGGATGTTGGATATAACTGTAACTATATTGTTTCTTCAGTCTGTTGGTACTGTGTGTAAGCTCTGACTGGTGATCTAGACTGTGTTATGCCAGCCTATGTGGAAAACAAAATTGTGTGGTGTCTGAGGTGGTATGTCGCATAGCTGAAAAGAGATAATGTTTTGTACAGATGGAAATAAAAAACAGAAACTACTGAGACCTTTCTAGTTTTTATCAAGTTAACTATATGTGGCAGGGGAAAATATTCTCCATTGTGGAAAAAAAGGAATAATATTTTAGTTTGGACAAAAAGAAGCAGATGTAGAGAAGACAGGAAGGTTCATCATCAATGCAATAGGCATAGTAGTAACACTTGCAATTAGAATTGGCTGAAGAAAGAGCAGAAAAAAAGTAGGGAAATTCAGAAGATATGCTGGGGTTTGTTTTAATGCTGCACCCTCCCAACTAGCTGGCTTTTCTTTCAGGTGTATTTGTTTCTTTTTACTGTGCAATTTACCTTTTTCCTTTAAATCTCATTGAGAGACCAACTGGATCACTTCTTTTTGCAGTTTCTCTCTCCTGCAGTTGCTTCAGCACTGCAGACAGAAAACATGATAATGTCAGTGCCCAGAGCTCTAGATCAGCCACCTACTTGTGTATGTGAAATGAGATCTCCTAAGAGGCTTGGTACATGGGGCTTCAGGTCAATGCATGATGAACATGCAAGTAAGGTTGATCAGAAAATGAGCAGCAGAATTACATACTGGAGAGGACCAATGTGACAGTCAATTCCTTAGCAAAAGTGGGATTTTAACTGCCTTTATCTTGTTGATGGTGAAAGTCCATAGAATGTGGGGTAATGAAATGTGTCTTGTCCTACCTTCCCAAAATAAAGTAAGATACTCCATTTCCACAGTTAATTTTGTGGCTCATTGTGCTGTTTTGGTTGCTTTGGCTTCTTGCCTAGTCTGTTGTTGGCAGTGAAGTTAATAGTATTTCTTTTTTCCAGTAAAACATAAAATTGATGCTCTGCCATCATTCAGTGAAATTTATCCCCAGGCCTTCCACCTTGTTTATTCAGCTTCAGACACTAGTTGTCATAGGTAGTTGGTTTCCTTATGGCAGGATAATACTGATGCCTCTCACTGTTCAAAAGCAGCCATGAAGCAGCAGATATGTTTATTAAGGACGGTGTCATAACCATAGCCAAAAAGGAAATTATTACATCTGCAATTGAAACAATTTGCATTTACCTCACAGAAGGCACTAATGCTATCAAATTCTGCTTTCACTTAATTTACATAGGTAAATAATTTCCCAGTAATTATTTAATAAGACTGCAAGGAAAAAAGGTAGAAGGTGTGTTTGCACATATGTGTGCCTATACTTCTTCCTCCAAAACATTTTTTGGATACCACAATCCTGGTTCTGAGACCAAGTGTTGATCAGTGAAAACTTCGTTTCTCCTTCCCAGTTTATCTGAAGAAGTGTATACCAGTAGCTTCCTCTAGATTGAGAACATAAGGTTTTCATTTCGCTTTGAATTCTAGTACCCTTCAAAATGGAATAGGTTAAAAATATACCAACAGAGTTTGTGGATGATTTGCTAAAAGAGAATCCTCTCTTCCAGCAGGTACTAATAGCATAATATCTTCTTTCCTCCATGTATTCTTCAGTTATAGGCTGGACTTGTGTAAACAACTAAGCTGTGTCAGTGTCTATATTCTCATAATTATCAAATAAGTTTTTAAAGTTTTGTTTGCTTCCTTTGAGTGATCAGAGATTGTTAAAACTGCAGCTTCTCTTGAGCCTTTCATTCCCTAAGCTAATGTAAAAATATATATGTAGGGAAAATGTTGCACAGAAGTTAGTGCAGAGTAGACACCACAGGATAACCTGTGAAGGTCTCAGCTAATTTAGTGGCTGAAGCCCATCTGGGTAACAAGTGGAGGTGGCAGCTTTGTGGGAAGGATCTGCTGAGGTCTCTCAATCCGTTGTGTCCATGGGGACTGTGGTGTCACAGAAATGAGTAGAATGAGTTCTGTTTTATTAAAAGATGCAGCTAATTCTGTGACTTCTTTTCTCTGTCGTAGTCTGTATAAACATTCTGCCCCTGTCATTTGTAACAAGCAGAAGCACCTTGGAAAGCAACTGTGGCAAAAGAAAAAGCCTAGGTTCTCGGCCATTCCAGCTCCCTGGCTTTATTAACAACCAGATCAAGTTTAGGGAGTTTCTGTTTGTTTATTTTTCGGGAAGGAAAGAAGTTACAAATCAGTGAGTGTTGTATTTCATCTCTTCTAAGACTCAAGATTTTTTTGGGAGTGGTGACAAAGCAAACATATGAAAAGAGGAACCGCTTATGAGGTTATCTGAAATTTTCAGCAGAATAATGTTCTTACAGGGCCTTTCCTTTCCTAACAACAAAAGAGACTTTAGTCTGACTTTTAAACTTTATTTTTTATGGGAATTAACTCCAGACCCACAGAAGGATGGAGGTGCCGTTAGGTGTCTAATTCCAGTAGAAGAATCCACAGCTCCAACTAAGGTACCTAAGCTCTGTGTAGAGCAACCAGGAATGTACCTAATACTAGAATGTCATCTGAGCTAGCTGCTGAAGGGAATCTCTTGATCTGTCCTCTTCAAATACTTGTTTTGCATTAATTTAATATGAATTATGTCAGAGATCAAAACTGAGCCCAGAGTTTCTGTCCTAATGATAAGAAGGATTGCTGGGATTGGGATTTCTTGGGATTTAATCTCTATTAATTCTTTGTGTTGTTCCTCTTCAAAAAAAATATTAAATGATGGATCTGTATTCCCGTAAAATAGCTAGTAAATTGAGAGCATAAAGAAATTAAATAGCATACCAAATGTCATGGTAGGGAGGGCTACTGAGATTCAGGAACCTCTTTTTAACCTGCTGGTTCTTTAAGATGAAAGATTATCTTTGATTTTTTTTTTTTTTTTATCAGCAGCATTTTCTTGATCAATTTTGTTTTTTTCCTTCAGAACCATCTAGTGGGGAACCTATCTTACCTCTAACCACTGTTGTTTCAGATCTGCTTTGTAATTTAGCTAAACAGCAATGTTTTTGTGTCCTTTTTGTACTCCTAGGATCCGATGTGTTTCCAGTAACATACCTTAATGTTTCCAAGGATTTGGCTCTCCAGAAGCTGCTGGTGGAGTGGGATGTTGACAAGTCAGCACATGATGCTAAGCTGTCAATGTCTTTTGAAATACAAGTCAGTCGAACAAATGAAACTACTGTGTGGACAGTAAGTGTACTTTGAAAAGAAGTATACCAGTCCTTTACAATATAAAGGAAGCTAAAGGAAAAGGAAGAAGTAATGATATTTCTTTGCAAAGTCCCTATGCTGGTAGTTTTCCTTAACACTTAAACCAGCCAGATTTTCTGAAGGGGAGTAGATCACCCAATTCATAGGCTTAGGCCTGTTCCAGATGTTTTCCCCTCTTTGTGACTTCAGTGTGAGAACAGTCTCCAAAGAAAATTTCGTTTCCTTTGAGTGTGACAAAACCTTTTGGAAATGAAATGCCTGTTTTAGTAATATTTTAACCTATTATGAGTCACCTGTTCAGTGGACTATGGAAGAATATGAAATGCTCATATTAAAACTTACTAAAACTGGAAAACTGCACTGGCTCGTTTAAAGTTGCTGTTTGTGAGAAAGCACATAAAATAGAGAAGGGCTTATCTTGTCAGAAATCAGTGATCAATAAATAAAATAAGAGAGGCACTGTTAAGAATCACAATTTACTCTGATCAGCCAAACTGGTAATATTTGGTCTAAAAGTCTGAAGAACCACATTTTCACTGCAGATGAGGTCTATGCGGATGCAAAGATTTTTACCCCTTTGATGTGCTGGATAGGATTTTTAACACCCTGTGAGTAGATCTAACCCTGAAGTCAATAAGTGGGGCCTTATAGCTACAAACAGTTAAGTTTGGGGTTTTTTGGAGTATCCTTCCATAAACTCTTATTAACTTGCTGGAAGGGAGTAAGAGCTTTTCAAATCTAAGGATGTAAGGTGTTCTGTTACTTGTAAAACATGACAAGGAAAACAAACAGGTTGCTTTGGACGTCACTACCACACAAGAACGTATTTGCTTCTGTGTTTTTCTGAAGAATGTGTACCAGTAAAAAAACTCTGTGAGTTTGCTCCTGCCAAAGCACAAACAACCCATATAACTTCCAAAGCAGTGACGGCATTTCTCAGGGCTATAACTGAGAAAGTAAATTTTGAACTAATTGCAGAGTTTTTCTCAGAGAAGTAATAGTATGCAAGTGCAGGTGTTGCTGATGGGAAGCAGCACGAGAGCAGTTCTCTAGTGGTCAGTGTGAGCCAGGGCTTCGGTACAACCCATACAAGTAGCACGGATCTTTATAATGAAAATCTGTTATGGTTGCTTTTAAAAGTACAAAAATATGTAGAATCATAAAATCTTACAGGTTGTAAAAAATCTTTAAGATTGTTGAGTCAGACCATTAATCTGGCACTACCAAGTCCACCACTAAACCAGGTCCCTTAGTGCTGCATCTACATGTCTTTTAAATCACTCCAGGGATGGTGATATGTAACCCAGGGTGCATTTGTAGAAAACATCTGTGCATGCTACTACTCATGTAATACCAGGCAGAAATAACCTACTGAAGGTCTCTGAGAGCAAATCCATGTCATGAGAAGTAAGGCCTGACTCACAAATATGTCAGCATATCAGTCACCCGAGTGGTGCTGGTACAGATCTGTAACTACTTAATTAGCTAATAGTTACTTAGTATGAGATCATAGGTAGTGAGTGAGATTTCAGAGTTTCATTTTTCAAAAGCATTTTCCTCCTTTGAGCTTCCTCTCTCTCACTGCCTTTGACTGTATTTCCTAATGCAATGTCTGCACAGTGTCTATACACTGTTGTGTTTTCAGTACTTTGTCTTCCTGGTCTTTGTTTGTAGGGGTTTCATAATGTCACACTTGATAAATTAGGAAGGCCTCTTCACTGGACATGGCATTCAGACATACCTTTGGAGTGTATATCTCATGCAGTGAGAATCAGGAGCAAAGCAGAAACATCAAAAACCTGGAGTCAGTGGAGTCTATGGGAAACTGTCTTGGGTAAGCAAAACAAGATTTTGCAATATTCACTTTGTATTTTTCTAGTAAAAAGCTAGTTTTTAATTCACCAGTGCCTGTAATTGTGAAGGACGGTTCAGGAGAGGTGGCGTCAAATCAAGAATCCATTTTGAACTCACAAATCTCTAAGCACTAACCTTTTTGCTGGCAATAATAGCAGTGCTTCAGCCATTGTTAGAATTTGCAGACTGTCTTCCTAAACTAGTACACCAAAAAGTTTCAGAGTTTTTTTTGCCCACGCATTAAAACGATACAGTACATGGAGTGGCATGGGATCTTGGATAGGCTGTAATATAATCTATCACCAGGTCAAACACATCCTTTCCCCACACCTGGGGAGAGGAGACGAAGTGCATTGCTATGGCTGCATGACCTGATGCATGTGTTGCTTTTGCCTGGTTTCATAGGTTTGATTAGTATTACAGAAGCAGAGAGAAAGGAGCAAGTCAGCTTCTTATGTCACCTGGAATGAATGAGCAAGTCAGGTCCTTATATCACTTAGAATGAACTTACGAATTCTATGAGAGTAAGCAGGGAGAGAACAAATAATGTAATTAATAATAATCAGAAAACACTTTTTTTCTTTGATTACTGTGTCTTACTAGAACAGTTTGATTTCCGGAGAATTTTTTAAAACAAAATATGTAACTGTTTTAGAAAAAATTACTATAGTGATTTTATAATGAAACACTATTCTCATTTGGAGCAGCAAAGGCTTTTAGTTGAGATGAGATATGTCATGGTAGGAAGAGCATCACACGTCTTTATACTTAGATTGTGACACTTAAATTGTCCATCTCGTTCTCCTTGTAAAATAGGAAATAGGATGCAAGACTCCCTTTTTATCTCACTAACCTGAATCTTGAAGATCTTATTTTTTCAATTGAAATTTGATAGGGTTCAAAAATACTATTTCTTGGTCACAAACTGATCCCGCATTACAGACCTGATTTAGAGCTCTCTGAGACACAGTAACTCTAGATGTCATCAGATTTTTGGGTCAGATTCTTGAAAGTAGATTTTATCTATGCAACATGTGTAGAAGACTGTGAGTCACTTAAATTCCATTAATTTTTGCACCCAGCAAGCATCCAACATTGAAAGCCATAGGAATCTCATTCCAAGCTGTATCTCCTTACTGATCTGATTTGGTCAACATTGACTCCTTTTAGCCGAGTTCTGCATGAGCTTCAGAACATGAGGTTTTTCTAGCTCCCCATTCCTAGTCTTCCAGAGCAGGCATTTTGGCTGTAAAACATCAGCCTGGGCATAGGTACAGGAGGGGATAGTCCTCTGTAAAGGCAGGTGTGATGGTTCAGACTTGGCTCCCTGCCAAATGCCCAACCCCCCAGTAGCAGCCTCTCTCTTCCCCCTTCCTACTTCCCCCAGGGCAAAGGAAAAAAAACTATGCAAATGGAAGAACTCGAAAATCAAGCTAGTTATATAAAAAAAAATATATTTTATGTATATTACAGTTAAGATGCTATGTACACAGCGAACGGGAATCCAAACACCCCCCGAAGGGATAGGGAAAGGGGTAAAGGAACAAAAGGGAACAAGAAAAAGGACACTGAGCAGATATATGCAATCAAACCCGAGAATTAGTAAAATAACTAGTAAAACAAATCTCACCACGTCCCTTAGAAAAAAACAGGATTGACATACACACGGCCAGCACTCCCCAAGCCTCCACGTGGCAGGTCAGTGGATGCTGCAGGCCTCAGCCTTAGATAAGCGAGACCAATGCAGGGAGCCACTGTTCCCAAACCTCGCCAGAAGAGAAGAGAGCGAAGGCCTCTCCTCCCTTCTTATTTATACCTTGATTTACGTAAAAAATCGTATGGAATACTGGGAACACGGTCCCTTCCTCGGTTACAAACTGGTAACCAGGGAAGGCCTAGATTAAAACCACCACAGCAGGTCTTAACCTCACACTCTTTTTTTGCCTCCAAGTGAAAGACAGCGAGATAGATTTAGTCTCCATCTTCCTGGACTACATTATATGAGTTTAAAACAAATATAGGTATTATTGCTTATGAAGTTCATCTCTCTATGGGGAAGAATACTAAATAAAAGTCTGTGAATGGATAATAAAACATTAACAATTTCTTGAATAAATGCTGGTTGAAGGCTTTTGCCCTGAGCAGATCTTGAGCTGTTTTTTTATGTATTTATTTTCAGGCCTTGACACTTCGAATAGCAGTGAACCACAAATCTTTCCAAGGAAAACAATTTTAGAGGAAGGCTCTGATATCACTTTTTGTTGCATTGGAAGGAAAGGTCAAACCATTGGGAATTTCTCTGTACTCTCAGCTGTTCGTGTTTTCAGTCACACAAACACTCAACTCGGACTTCTCACTGTGAAAAATGTGAGCCATCAAGAGGCTCACATCCATGTCTTCTGTAATTACAGTGAAATTCACGGCTTAGCTCGTACAGCTTTCCTCGTGGGTAGTAAGTGAACACATCATTAAAGTTCTATTTCCCCATTGTTACTAAGTCAAGAATGACTATGGGGAGTGGGGGGAGGAAAAAACAAAGCCTTCTGTAACCTTGTCTTGTCTGGCTGATCTCTGTTAAAGTCTAACTTGAGAACTGTAAACTTATGTATAGAAAGCATTAAAGAATAGCATCAAACATGTTCAGATTAATCTCATTAATTGATGCTAGGACAGGTGATTGATTCTTAAATATACCTACCCATTTAGAGGTTCAGCTTCACTGTCTGTGTGCCTGTGGTAAAACTCAGCACAGTCCCCATTTTGAAGGCTAATAGCAATTTTTACAGATAAAAATCAAAACAGATTAATGAGTATATGAATATAACAAAAGTTACTAACAAAAGTAGTTGGATTGCTATTAATTTATGGTATTATCCTGACTATCTTGCAAACTGGTCATTGAATAAATATAATTTCAATAACATTTGTAATAAACCAGACCTTGCACTTATCCATTATTTCTTGCATGTTACTATATTAAACATAGATGATTTTTGCCTTGAATGCTATGCTGTTGATGTGTTTTTGGTTATTACCTCTGATAAGGAGCACCTGATGCACCTAAAGATCTTTCCTGCCAAACTCAAGACATGAGAATAGTAACATGTACTTGGAGCCAAGGAAGAAGCACCTATCTCTACGGGAAGAATTTACCAAAATACACCTTGTCTGCAAAGTAAGTCTCATTGTTATATTAACTCTGGTCTGTGCTGTACAGAACTTCTCTTCTTTAGAATCTGTGGAATTTTTTTGTGTGTGTGTGTGGTTTGGTTTTTTGGTTTGTTTGTTTGTTTTGTTTTGTTTTGTGGTGGTTTTGTTTGTTTGTTTGTTTGTTTTTTTGTAATTAGCTGCCTGCCTCTTTCCGCCTCACTGATCACTTATTTAACAAGGCTTGAGTGATGCAGAACTGCTCTGATTTAGACTACCTAAAAAAAGTAGCCTGTCCTTTAAAGCAATTTCTTCCTGGTAAAGCTTGTTCTAATGATTCTTTTAGATTAATTTGTTTAGATATATTCCAGTAGATATGAAGACACCCTGAAATCAGGATATAGATAACTTAAAAGTGTAACATACTTACTGAGTACAGACAAAACAGATAACTAGATCTAATCAGTGGTAGGCTGAGTATCAGTGTGCTAACAATCCATTGACACTAATGCTGACTCAAACTAATGATTCTCAGCTCACTCACAGTTAGCCTAATTAGCCTCCCTTTTTCTTTAGGATTTCAGGACTTTACATGCTGGTGTTCTCCTTCTTGAGTCCTTGAGCTACTGACAATCCAATCTTAAAAATCCTACTTGTGTCTATAATTTCTGTAATTTCAGCTGGCTTCTTTACTCTGTTTGGTTTTGGTTTTTGTTTTTTAAAGATTTCTCTGTGGACTTTCTCACAGCTCTTTCTTAGCACTCTGAGTCAAGGTATGGCAAATCAGGCATGGGTCTCAGATGAGGAGAAGGGCTTTACCCCAGAGCCTGCAGGGAAACTCATAAAGCGGGACAGATACCTCATCATCACAGCAAACTTTAATCAGAAGATCTCAGGAGAAGACAGGTTATCATTGCACGTACCTTCATGGTCTCTGCATAATTCACGTCTATTAAGATATTATGATAGTGATTTAGAAATGGAAGGTTAGAAGGTGCACATGAAATTACAGCTTTATTTTAAAGCATAATGGTAGATGTGTAAATGGTCTTGACAAGTAAGTCCCTGGTTTACAATTTCCGCGAGGAAATCACTAAAATCAATTTAGCTGTATCTTAAGAAGAAAAACTTAGACTTTTAAGAAAACTTTCATCTAAGAATACCTATATTCATTGTACTTCAGGCTAAAGGGAAGAATTGGTTGGCTTCTTACATTCCCCCTCAGCCTTATTTTTTTAATGATGTTGCATTCTAGTTGGACATCAAAAATTTCAACATCTATGTTGATTGTACATTATGGAAAAATGTCTCTCTCTCTCTTCGCCTCTGTCCCACCCGCCTCTTTCTTTGATAGATCTTCCCAGAAAACGGTTCAGTGCACACCAAGTGGTTCCAAGCCAAGCGCATGTTCTTGGGATATAGGCCAGCAGAGTATCTGGAATGTCACAGTGACTGTGGAAAACCCACTGGGAAAGAAAACTGCCACGGATGTTTTTAATGTAAATCACAGAAGTAAGGTCTTTTCTATATCTTTGTTGAGGGCTTTTTGTTGCTCCTTCTGAGCTTGATACCTTGAGTGCCCTGTTTGAAGTATGGAAGGTGTTGATTTTTAACTTTCCAGTTTTGCTACCTGTCCCTGTGCTATAGTTGCTCTCTCTCTTCAGTTTCAGCTTTGGGAAGTCATATTAATGGTAGAAAACAGTGGCAGGTTTCATCTGACCTCCAAAGGTCAGTTTTGGTTATTGAAATGACCCCTTAATGCTTCAAAATCTTCTGCTTTCTAAAGCTGGTTCATAGTGTAGAAAACAACAGGATGCAAGGATATAAAATGAGGAGTTTAGGAAAATAACTGTATAGGTTACTTGGGAATTGGTATGATATGAGATGTGATACAGGTGTAAGCAGCTATTGCCAGGAAAGAAGTGATGGTGCTAATCTGTCTTGGGCCTTGTGGGACAGCAATGTCCATTGTGCTGCTGTAAGGGAGGAAGAGTAGTTCATCAGTAAAAAAAAATAGGTTGTTCTGTGAGCAATAACTAATGGGTGTGGTTCCTTCTCCCCTACTGGCTGTGTCCTTTATCATAGTGTGCCCCAGGTCCCATAAGTTCCTTCTTATTCCTGCCTCAAAACAACTGGGTATTTCCTTATGTTGTGTATTTTTCTCTGTTACGTTTGTCTCAGTGAGGCTTGAGAGTTCTAAAAGTTTATTATTTGATTGTTTCAGAGTGGAAGAAACAGGTCAGGAAGAAAGTAGAGAAGTAAACTGACAGGTTGTAGAGAGACAACACAATGTCATAAGCTAAGTTTTCATGGGAAGTCAGGCTAAAATAGATTACATTCAATGTGCTAAGTATGGTTTGGTTTTTTTTTTTGCTTTTACTGCTCAGCTAAAATACCTTAAAATACTTTTGAATATATTTTACATTTTACAAGAGCTAACTCAGATTTTCCGTTTGCAGTTTATCCTACTGCACCTTTCCAGGTGTGGGAAAAATACACAGATACAGAAATCACATTATACTGGAATCATCAAAGCAATGGAATTGAACTCTTTTGTCAGACTGAAGTGCTCCACCCCGATGGGAAAGTTGAACTGGTATGACACCTGAGTTTCAAACACAAAAACATAGTGAGGATCTTTCTGATGTGGGATTAAAAAATAATCCCCCAGCAATACAAATATACAGTAAATCTTGTAATCATGTTGATGTGTCCGTTTTCTGGATTTATTTGCTCCCAGGCTCCACACTGGTTATGTGGTCCATGCAGGCAGCCATTGCAGGCACTAATTCACAGTCCCCAAACTGCATGTACTCTGGATGAAGTGCACGGTGTGACTGGTTTGCAAGTGTGGCTCTCTGATCTGCTGGATGGGTTCTGAGATTTGTTGGAAGTAGATGAAAACACTTGTGGATCTTACAATGGTAGTGTTGTGTAATATATATTGTATATATAATGTATAAAAGCAGTTGCTGTTAGCTACTGCTGATACTGATTTTTTATGTTTTTATTGTTCATGTCATCTTATGCACAAGTGGTGGAGAGCTGTGTTGAAGATTTATTTTTTTTTAATATTAGTCCAGGAGCTTTTTGTCTACTCTACTTGATGGTAGTGTGTCTGGTTGGTAGTGTGGGAAACTCAGAACAGTTTTTTCTTCCCATCTTCTTCCGTCTCCTTGAAGATTATTTGGGTAGATTCTTTGTCTTGTTCTGCCTCTTTTGCAGACAGTGAGGCTTCTATGTAGTCCTTTCCTTAGAAAGGCATCTTGCCTCTAGCACATTAAAAAGGCATAGTGAAGATCACAGTCAAGCTGCCTTCTGTGCCAATATTGCTTAAGAAGTCTAGATCAAATGTGGCCATTGCAGGAGACAGTTTTGAGGAGAGGCTTAAAAGCATGCTCACTTTTTCGAGTTGCCAGAACAAACTGTGTCTCTTTGGAGGGAGCAGGGGAGAAGGTTGGGGAAAAAAAGGAAAGAAAAGGTAGCTGTAGATTGCTCTGTCTAGATCTTGAACAGCATCCTGCTTACATAAAGTAATAGCCCCAGGCTCTGTGAGGGCAAGATCTCAGTAAATTCCCTCCTTAATGGAAGGACTACTCATTTGGATGTTGTGAGTGACTCCTGCTCAGACAGTTACATAGCGCTGATTTCCAGACCTCTTTTGGGACCTCCCAGTCTCTTCATCTTATGTATTTTTTTTAATTATTATTTTTTGATTGTTGTTTCATGATTACCTTTCCCAAGTCAAGCTTACCTTGCCACTGTGGGATCTAGAGGAAGAAGTATTTTTTTTAAGACAAGAACATCTTGCTGATGAGGCCAAACTGAGCTCTGGCTGTTCTGTTTTTCTGTGTTGCAGCACAACAGTTCAGACAGGCATTCACCTCACAGGAGCATCTCCATGGGTGGGCTGCAGCCCTACACGGAATACACAGTGAGGGTTCGCTGTGGGGCAGCGAAGCATTTCTGGAGGTGGAGTGAGTGGAGTGAAGCCCGGACTATCAGAACAGAGGAAGCAAGTATGTCCTGCCCCCTGAGAAGGGAAGTTTGAGAGATATTCTTTGCTTGCCATCCGTCTTTGCTATTTGTTGTTATTCTTCTGCTGTGTAGCTGAAGCAGAGCCCTGTTGCATGCATAAAAGGAGAAGCACGCTAGGCAGACTTCAGGAAGGTGACTTCTTAAATAGCTCTGATTCTACCTGCTGGTCTCTGATATTTCATCCAGTGCAGGCAGTGGGAAATCCAGATGACTGGGAGGACGGGCATACTGAGTTACAGTGCTCTGTGAGGCCTGGAGAAATGGTACAGAGGTGGGAACAAGCATCTGGGAACTGCAAGCAAAGATTTTCTATGGAAGTTAACCAGACCTCAGTTCAGAAAAAAGAATGAAGGGAAAAGATGTTAAAGGATAATGTTTGGGCAAGACCTGGCAGTGATGGGGAAAAAGAGGCGTTGGGATTTCTTCGAATGGAATGAAGCAGTTAAACTGTCTATTCTTTCTGCACCTAAAGCATCTTTTTATTTTTGCTGTGTTTATTGCAGCTCCATCAGGGAAACTGGACATGTGGAGAGAAATTATACCAGTTCTGGGGGGAAGGAACGTGACCTTGTTCTGGAAGGTGAGACATCACTACAGAAATAGAAACAAAACCCTTCATAAAGGGTTGGAAGTTTTTCCCGTGAACTTTAACAACTTTTTGTGTACTTAATCGCAATTCAGTATAAAATGTCTTTTACAAATATAAGACAGATATTATATATAATGCATCTCAGAACACATGTAGTTGTGATGATGTGCTGTCCTGGCATTTCAGACATAATTCTGTTCTTGTAAGTATTATAATATGACAAATATCATTACTGAGATTTCTTCCATTTCAACCAGTATGTGTATGCATGTATGGAAGAAACCTTCTATATTCTTACAGAAATAATACACCTGATTAGTTATTTAAAGTTCTAAATGTTCCTCTCATAGTTTTTCAGCGAAATTTACTAAGTTACTGTTCTTTTCCTTTGTAACTTTTTTTTCCCAGCAAACACCAGGTTTTCGAGCAAATGGAAGAAGTATTTCGTATGAAGTAACCTGGGAAAAAATAGAAGATGGCTCTAGGCCTGAAAGCATCTCCTTGTCATCAGTCTACAATAGCACAAGGATTTTCATTGATAAGCATTCCTACAAAATCAGTATCATGGCAAAGAATGGTGTTAATTTTTCACTTCCTTCAGTATTGGTCATCTCTAGAGCTACAGATAACAGTATGAGTATTTTCAGCTAGATTTCCATTATGATAGTTTGGTTTCTACCTATTTTAAGTGAAGTCATAATTTATCATCTTAGGCAACTAGTTAACCTGGCCTTTAACTCACATGACTGCTGTCTGGAAATTATTACTGTACTTTCACCTACAGGGTGGTAATTGTACATGTGTGAAGTTCAAGTGTACAGAGAGTGTCCACAGAACAAAACACATTTAGCCTGAAACTAGAGCCTTAGACCTGTGGCAGGTGCCTTGAAGGTGCAGCCAGTGCCTCTCTGTGTGATCCTCTTCTTGTGACTCTCTGACTCTACATTTCTTCAGCTGAGGGTCTTTTTTATGAATATGTAGTAACTTACTGGATGGTTTCTGAGCTATGTATGCCTTCAGCACACAAAGAGATCAGCTTTCAACACGTGAAAGATCCCATATGTCATTTGGTGAAGGAATGCAACTCTTTTATTATTGTTTTTCACAATTTAGCATAGAAACTATATCAATGTTCATTTATGAATATGAAGTTTCATTCATGAAAGTAATAGGTATTCTGTTTTGTTCGTTCTAGGTACTGAAGAGCTTAAGGAAGAACAGGTTAATGGTACAGATGATGGCATTTTTATTTCCTGGAAGCCCAGATATATATATGACAGTTACATTATTGATTGGTGTAACTTTCCGAAGTTGCAGCCTTGTGATTTGCAGTGGAAGAGATTTGGGCCCAACACTTCCAGTGCTGTGATCAACTCAGGTGAAAGCCAAACAACGTTTCTTTCTGATGTCAGTGTAGCAGTCCTTCATGCTGTGGGCGTTAGTTGAATTTAGGAAGCAAATCATGTGGAATATTAAAGTTTGTGCAGTGCAGGTGTTATTCTTTGGAGGCATCATTTTTTGCCTACCAAATAAATTAGACACCACAAATGTGCCAGCACCATTAAGCCTTGGAAGTTAGCATAATATATTAGGAAAGTCAGCATAACATTTTAGGAAAAAAACCTTTTCTGAGTGGCTTGTAGTAGTATCTTGAAGGAGGACGGTGAGGTTAATGAAGGAGTTAAAAACCTTTTAGCAGAAGAGATGCAAAATGGAGCTCTGCCCTAACTGTAACAAGGATCAGAAGTTTAGACTCAGGCAACTTAACAACCACAGTGATTTAGTGCAGTCAGTGGGCCACAAATGTGTCTCATCACCAGTCCTTGCTTAGGACCAGTTGCATGTTTTTTTATCTCAGTGGCGGCCAATAGACCTAAATCCTTTCTGGCTGTGTGAAAGTTGCTCTGATATACTTCCACAGCTGCAAGAATTTAGCCTTTCTGCAGTCTCTCCAACTGAGAGTTCATTTTGGAATGAAAGATGTTTGAACAAAACTTGACTGAATGCACGTCAATGTGTAATAAAGGAACTGCACCGCAATTCATACAAACACGTGGGAACATACAGTCCTGGTGAAGGAGAATGTGGGAACACATGGGAAAAGGACTGTCCAACTCTTCAGTCATTTGCACTTGGTTGATGTGGCTGGGAGTGGATGTCGCTGAGAATCACGTGGAATCCTGGTACATGGAGATGTGCGTCTGCATTAAACAGTTAAAACATGGCCTTTTCCTGTGCCAGAAATGTAAATGAAATTATCTTGCTCTTTCAGAGTCTATTGTGTAGTCACCTTGAATACTGTATGGCCACAAAAAAATATATAAACCCCTCCCCTAGTTCTCTCTTTCAGACAGGATAAATGTGTTCAATTCACAGTATGCACACCATGAATTGGTTTACCCTGAGTCTCCTTCAGCTGCTTTAAAAGCACAGTGGCACATGGAGAAGACGTCTAATAGACCATTGACCTCTGTAGAAAGCAGTTCAGTAAAAGCAACACCGAAATACAAACCATAACCTATTTTTGTAATCAGTTTGACTGTTTTATAGCTGCTTTTGTTCCGGGGGTGAGATACAACTTCCACATCTATGGATGTATTGCTAATAGAGCCTCCTTACTGGAAAAGAAGACTGGTTATCTCAGGGAGCTACGTAAGTTAGCAACATATTTCAGGTTTGTGTATTTGCTAAATTGACCTGTCACAAATAGAAGAATTCCTTCTTTCCACATCTAGGTAAAATTATATTTTCTATGTTCTTTTTATATCATCAGTGAAGCATTTAAAAGTTGCATATCAACATACAGGCCCTACATGGAGGGTATTTGGCTAGCGCAGTGACCAGGTAGAGTCCATGTGTATTAGAAGACCTAAACAAAGCTGTGATTGTCAGTCATTACTTTGTGTATAATGTGGATGCATGAAGGCTCTGTGAAGTTGACAGTGTTTGTAGAGCACTTTGGCTTTGTTCAGCTTTTAAATACAAGTAAGATTTGAACATAAATGCCACATGGGAGTGTAGATTTTACAAGTGCAAATATGAACATTCTTGAAGAATAATTGCAAGTTTAACTTGAGTTTTCTTTCTTCCAGCTCCTCTTCTTGACCCTATTGTGGACAAAGTTGAACTGACTTCCAATGCAGTAACACTGTCTTGGGATTCTTACCTCACAAATGAGTCACAGTCTGGTTTTGTGAGAGGCTACCATATCTATGTGTCACCTGTAGAAGGGAACTGCAGTTTAAAAGGATCAAAAAAGCACATTCTTTCAGGTAACTGAGCTCTGCAGTGTAGGAAGCTATGTCATTGACACAGTTGCTCATACTGCAGCACCTTAGAAGATTCACATTAGGCAGTCAGGTTGGCTAATATGGCTATCTAAAGATTTCAACATGTGCTGCTTTTGATTCCCCTCTGTGCTTGAGGTGCTGACAGACAGAAGTGGGCCCTGGCTTTATACAGATTTACAGTCCCCGTCCTGTCTACTTTTTAGCTCCAGAAAACATTCCTTTCATACTGTAGGAGGATGTAAGTTTCTGCCTCTTGTTATGTGAGTTCTGGATGAATTTCAAAAAATATTTGTGGTCTACTTGGATAAGAGTCATAGGAAGCATGTTAGTCTTACTAGGATTTGGGATATTTTAGAAACAGATGGGATGCAATTTATTTCCTTCAGAATTGGAACACTTTGTAAATTCCCCATTTAAATTTTTTTCTAGTGAGAGTATTTGTGTCTGTGTTCTACAGTGGAGTTCCTTCAGCTGAAGTGAACTGCGAAGTGGCACAAAGCCACATTTAAACTTTTATATCTGACCTTCCTGTTGCACATGCAAAACTGCTCCAGATGACTTTGACCTATTATGATTTTCAGATGTTTCCATCATGTTAAAGGATATTTTTTTTTCCTTGCCTCTTCTTCCATTTGGGTCATGTCCTGTGATCCTTCTGATTAGACTATCATCTAACTGAAAAGCATATTTTGCGCTGAGGGAAGCTTATGTAGGAGTTTCTATCAGAACTGAACTAACTACAGAAGTACCATAATTCTGTAAGTAATCGCAGTTAGACTTCAAAAAGTTTAAATCAAAGATTTTTCTGCTTTCCTGTTTGTCAGAGCTAGCAGACAAGGGGTGTGACTGGGAACGGGAGAAACAAGCTAACCCATTTCTCCCTGGGGTCTGGGAGTTGCACAAGAGAGGTTAAAGAAGGTTTTGTTTTTTTTTCAGGCGGAAGTTTCTTGCTTTTGATTATCTTTAAAGAACTTGACCTAAGCTTAAGGGCTACAGAATTCTGGGGGAAAAAAAAAAAAAAAAAAAAAAAAAAAAAAAAAAAAAAAAAAAAAAAAAAAAAAAAAAAAAAAAAAAAAAAAAAAAAAAAAAAAAAAAAAAAAAAAAAAAAAAAAAAAAAAAAAAAAAAAAAAAAGCAAATGGCAAAACTCAAGTAATTCTGTTAAAAGCTCTACTGAAAGGAAATTAAAATAAACAGTTACTGCCTTTGACAACAAGTTGCTAAGTGTCTGCCAGAGGATGGGCAGTGCTGTGGACAGTCCAGCTAGAAGGGATGTGAGTTCAGCCCTGTGTCAGTGAGTCAGGATGCATCATCCTTCTCGTAAGAAAGTATGCAACTTACAAAGAAGGCGGATTGCAAATGTTTTGTTATTTCAGTGGCCATGCATAAGTGGGTTTGTAAAGTTTTGAAGACAACTTACTGCAACCTTTCAAAATCTAAAAGGGGACTTATAAAGATGGAGAAAGACTTTTTACCAGTGCCTGTAGTGACAGGACAAGGGGTAATGGTTTTAAACTAAAAAAAGAATGGGTTTAGAATAGATATTAGGAGGAAATTTACCATGAGGGTAATGAAGCACTGGAACAGGTTACCCAGAAAAGTTGTAGACGCCCCATCCCTGGAAGCATTCAGGGCCATGCTGGATGGGGTTTTCGGCAGCATGGTCTAATGGGAGGTGTCCCTGTCCTTGGCGGAGGGGGATGGAAGATGATCTTTAGGGTCCCTTCCAACCCAAACCATTGATTTTGTAATTTCTTGATTCTGTCTTATGATTCATTTCAGATAATTCCGAGCTGTGTAAATACACAATTGAAAATCCAGAAGAAAAGAGATACACTGTGGAACACCTGATGTCAAACACAAAATACAAACTAGTGGTTAAAGCATACACAGGTGGAGGAGAGACTCCCATTGATGACTTCATATACATAGACACACCATATAACTGTGAGTACTGGCTGTTGAAAATGCCTTCTAGCAGAAGGATGGGATGATTTAAAATTTTCATGCTATTATTGACAATAATCTTCATTTCTCAAGGAAAAACATTTAATTCAATGAAACATGCACTTAAGAAAGAATCCAACTGAGAAATTACATGTGCATACCAATATGGTATTTTGATACTTTGAAGTAGATAGTTTTTTTTTTTTTTTTTTTTAAACAGAATTAAACTAATATATATCCTTATTTAATTCTTATATTTTTCTGGGAGATAGCTTAATATATGCACACTTGCACACCTACTAAGTCCTGTTTGTTAGAACTCATAGAAGAATTATATTTGGATTTAATTGGTTTTCTAATACAGGAAAAACCTACAGACTTGTGTGCAATAAGGTAATTTCTGTATGGACCCTTGGAAATTCTTATTCTCATCAGTCCTTAAATCTCTTGCCAAGTTAACTACTTCATAAACCAACATGGAAGGTTTGTTGGCCTGAGCACTGTATTTTGCTAAGTGGGCAGATTTGATCACCAAAGCAGAAGAGGAAATCACTTGCCTGTAATTCTTTTCGCTTGAAAATACCAGTCAGCAGTCATGATTGTGAAATTTATGATCCAAATTGGAGATGCCTGGCTTTGAGAAACTTCTTGGTGTTGGAGGTGAAGGGGGAGGGATAGGAAAAGGGGAGGTATTGTCTTATGCGAGGAGACTTCATGCTTTAGGCTAACTAGCAGAACAGTGACTAAACCGCATGGTACCTCACAGGCACAGTTCTGCCTCTACGTTCCTCTGTGTCCCATATTCCAGCTCCCATTAACCAGCAAGACATTTGTACAGCCATACAGAGAACAAAAATGAGGACTTAACTAACAACCCCCTCCGCAAAAAAAAAAAAAAAAAAAAAAAGCAAAACGTGTCCATTCCCTGCTGTGGTGTGTGGTGGAGACACATAAACTCCGGCATGAGGCAGGAGGGTGCTAGCCAGGGCAGAGGGAGAGCAGACACTAATGAGTAAGTTCCCCCTCAGCCCACTCAGGGCCTCAAGTGTTTGTGAACAGTGTAGCCTGAGGCTGTGTCTTCCAGCTAGAAGGAAATACTGAGATCCTTGTGTCCACATAAATCCTAGGAGACTTGAACACTAGTGTAATGTCTCTATCGCTACAGTCAATCCATAATAAAAGTACAGATGTTCTGTTTACTTCTTACAGTAAAATCTGTCTTCGTTGGAGATCTGAGAGAGAACCTAAAACAATATATAAGTGAGGTTATCTTTGCCTTAGCTTTTGGAAATTTCCTCTCATAGTAAAGATGCCAATATGAGAGCAATAAAAAGCAGTTTAGTAATAATTCAACCATGGACCACACAGTTTTACTGCTGAGTTAGTGGCAGGTATCCCACATGGGCTTAATGTTATTTTTGCCTGAGAAACTCAGGGTGATTTTAACATGTGAGGAATTAAAAGCAAAATTTTAAAGTATTTTTCTTTCACAGCAAACATGCTGTGCTTCCTATTCCTGCTAGTGATAGTTCCAACCCTAGTAGCAGCTGTATGCCACTGGAAGAAGAAATGGTAAGTTATGATGCATTTTTCTGTTGTAGACAGAGAATGTAACTAACCTAATTCACAAACCACTGCTGCAGCTTGTTGCTTCCAGCCTGCTGTGAGGCTTCATTCATTTCTTCCTTTGGCTGTCAAACTGTGTGGATGTTGCCTTTGGCTTGTGGCATTTCTGAGACACTCGTCCTCTGCTGCTGTGACTGTACACATCTGTGTGTGGCTTCTGCTGGTAGAGTGTGCTTTTATAAGAGAACAAAAATGTCTTTTGTTTTGCTTTCCTATTTCCAGGGTGAAGGAGTGCTGCTGTCCTGCAATACCTAGTCCTAGCAAGAGCAAAGTGCTGTCATTCAAAGAGTTTAAGGTAAGATCACTGAAAATCTAGCGTGTTTAATTTGCCCATTCTTTGATTAGTACAGTTGAAAAAAATAAAAATCTTTTTGAGTTGACTACATTTAAAAATTAACTTTTTTTTTTTAACTTTTGTGTTGACTTCATTTAATAATTTTAAAAACATTAACATAGTTTAATAATACCCTTTAGTGGAGAATTTTCTTTCTGGCATTCATGTGACTCTGCAGGGACCAGTTTATATGCTGCAGTCTGTTACTGCAAAAAGCCAGTGCAAAATTGGAGAATAAACGAAATCTTTCGGTACAGTCGGTGATTCCTCCATTACTGCTGTTCAAGCCCTCACACTGAACGCAGCAGACCAGATGATACTGCACTTCACTGCAGCCTGTGAGCTGTGCCTGCCCACTCCTCCTGCCCCACATCTGTGTGCAGTAGGGCACTCTGGGCTTTTTTAATTGACTAATTGTTTTGTTTAATGGTTCTCTTGTAGATTGGTTCTGAGAAAGTGATGAAAATAAGTGACTGCACTCCTGACATACTGGCTGTGGACAGTAAGGCTGAAGCCCAGAAATTACATCCATGGAGCGAGTTGTCTTCAATACCAACAGAAGATAAGACTGATGGTCACAATTCATCCTGGATTTACCCTAAGGAAAACGTAGAGAGAGACCTTCCACCCACACCTACATCTCAAACTCGTAATTGGTTTGAGAATTTTGCTTATTTTTCTCATCTTGATGTTGAATCTGATCCCTATCAAATACCAGGGACACTGGAAGCGAACAAGCCAGAGCTGGCAGTAATGCTATACCAGCCACACTGCTATACTGATATTTTAAATGAAGACACAGCCTCAGCAACCAGAGAAGCAGCTGGCAGAAAGAATGGTCTGAGGTATATCTCACAGACAAATGTGCACTGCCTGGGGAGAAGGCTTTGATGTACTCTCCTCCACTGAGTCTACCCAGTGTTTGATTACACCATATAGATGAGAACTTCTTTTGATTAGGGCTCTCACAAGCCCAACTGCCCTACTTTGTCTAGTTTTAAGTACTGGCTTGCACACAGGAACAATGTGTGTTATGGTTTCATTCCAAGTTTATGGGGATTATATAATATTTATAGACCATTTTGTGGCCTGTATTGTGTAAAAAGCTAGATCACAGCAGTCTTGTCGTAGCCTGATGCAGAGAACTGCTGTGTTTTACAGAGATGAATTTATTCATAAAGTAGAGGAGCAAGTTAAACAAGGGGATAGGTGGTTGTGCTTAAGGAATTTATTTCACTTGCAGTACACTACCACATGCTCTGGCCACCCCAGCCGGGGGTGATGTGCTTCAGGGCATGGAGCATTACCCAGCCCAGTGATACTGAGGGGTGGGTTTTATTTTCTGTCTCTTAAGTGATATGAGGAATCATTATAGAAAGGTTATCTGCATACAGTGTGGCACATTATTAGAGATTTGAAGGAACTTTGACTTCTCTAGGAGTGTTGCCAGAGCACCAGAATCCAGTAATTGCCATGCTTTCACTGCACCTCTGTCCTAATGACACTTGTTGGGTGAAAGAGCACAAACCCCATATTTTTATAGTACAAGCCCCTGCTCCCATTTCTTGTCACTGGGGCTCATCACACTTCTGCCTTCTCTGCCTGGAAGACTGACCCTGTAAAGTTGTCTTAACTATACACTAAAGAAATCTGGGGAGCTAGGTGGGAAGTTGTTTTTGCAGCAGGAAAGCTGTTTGTAGAGGTGGTACCATGCACTCTCTCTCTGCTTTTGCACATTGTCGTGGTTTTGCTTTGGGTCAATTTTGCCTTCCACCCCCCACATAATTACCACTAGTTGAGAGTAAGTTTTTGCAGACAAAAGAGAGACAGGACTTGGGGAAAACAGTATAAACATTTATTACTAGTAAAATAAAAACTACTAATAAATTAAAAACTAAAGAACTATATCTATAACAATTTCTACTCAAGTTGAAGTGCTATATATATATATAGAAATACTTCTTCCCTTTTTATACCAGTCCAAGGAGAAGAAGTAGTCTCATTCTCTATTTTCAGAGTTCCAGCTCTCTTTCTCTCTAGTAACAAATCCTCAGCAGCAGCAGCACTTTCATTGTAGTTAGAACTTCTTCTCTCTTCTTCTCGCTCTGTGTTGGCTTCCAGGGCTAGGCTTAACCCCCTCCTGGGCTAAGACTGAAGGCTGGGGGTTACCCAGGTCCCGAAGGGTCTTCCTTCCATAGGCTTGCAAGGGGACACTTGCTTTACTATGGATCTTCTTCCACAGGGTTACAGGGGATAATGGTTTAAGAGTTCACCCCTGTTTCCCTATGGAGGTCCCTCCCCATGGGAGAACAGTCCTTGATAGACTTCTCGGCACGGGTCTAGCACGAATCCACACACGCACGGATTCCAGCATTTTACATGGGCTGTTTCGCTCTAGCATGAGATTTCTCAGGGTCACAAAATCTTCAACAGCAGTATAGATCCACACACGCACGGATTTCAGTATCTCACCTGAGTTATCACTGCTCCAGCACAGGTTTCCCTCAGGGTTACAAATTTCCACCAGGACTCTGCCTCACTTCAGTCCTTTCATGAAGCCTCGGTTCTCTTTAGTACATCCACAGACTCTTCTATTAGCTGCCTGCAACACACTTTTACAAGTAGCAGGGATTACTTTTCAGTCTTTTCCCTGCTAAGGAGAGAGAGAGCAAAAAGGCAGGGGGGAAACAAGCCTCCCCCCTTTCGCATTTTACTTTTCTTGCTGCAGTTTCGGCTGCCAGCTTCGACCTTGGAAGCTCCGTTATCTTTTGGCTGGAATTCTTCCACAGCGGTTTCTGTCCAAGCAGTCTGTCTTTTAAACTTTTTTTTCTCTTCACTCTCTTACAAGAGAGAAGGGAGGACTTCAGTGCTGCACCTGCTCCCCCCCCGGCCCAAGCCGGGGGAGGAGGGAGTCTGGCCCTGCTTCGGGCCTGCTACTCCTCTCCCCTACATGGCTGCTACTCTAATTCCAACTGCGCCAACAACCTTCTCTTCCGTTTTCTTGAAGATGTAATTAGCAAAGGCGTTACTGGACTTTTGATTGGCCTTTTTGTCCGGAAATTACCTGGACAAAACCATCCTCAGCCCCAGGGATGGGCTGAGGGGCAAAACCACGACACACATGAACTGAACTTTTTTTGGCATTAACTCCTGTACTTCCAGAGCAAACCCCAAACCACCAACCGTGTAAAAGGGTAGTCAGAGGCATAGGTGTATGTGTCCCATTTGTGAAGAATGTCATATTCAGGCTGTGTATCAGCTAGATCTCCCAACACTGCTTTTGCATGTGTTAAAAAAAACAACAACAAAAACACACACCAAAAAAAACCCCAAACCAGACCAAAACAAACAAAAACCAACCAACCAACCAACCAACCAAATTATTGTAACAATCAGAATCCCTACAGTAGGCAGCAGTGAATTTGGCTTTTCATTTAGATTTCAAAAAATCATATATTTGTAATGATGCAGTGTATTTGGAATCATAGTTGAAAGTCTCATTAACCTCCTCAGTGCACAAGGAACCCTTTAGTTTTTCATCCTTATGATGCTGTTTGGAATCTGTCACAAACAGATGTTTTCAACTTAAGAGCATGGAAGAAGTGCTTCTCAAAGGTGAAAAAAATGGAAGGTCTCCGCCAATTTGATCTTCAGTTAGGGAAGACAAGTAACTACATTTTAGAAAACTGTGTTTAACTAGCCAGCTAATCACACTTCCTAGGAACTAAGCAGCTGCAGGCAGAAGTGAGTTCTGATAATGAACCACATCCAGTTTTTACACTGTTGATTACAGATATTGTTGTAATGTCCACAAGCTATGTTGCAACAGGAAAAGCAGTAAGACCTCACACAGCCTATGGCTGAAACAAAGCATTCACTGCAGAGAGAGAAGTTTTCAGGGCAGGAAAAGGTGAGGTACAAACAAAGGTACAGGGATGGCCAACTGTGGTGAGAGGTGTCCAGTCCATGTACACTGTGCTATGTGTGTGTACAGATGGCACAGACTCATTTGACAAGAAAAATTACAGCATAGTCCTTCCAGTGAACCTTCCAAGGGAAACGTGGCTGGATACATTTTGCAGAAGGGCAGTTTCACAAAAGAAGAGGGAGCTAAGGGAGAAAGCTGATGCTGTTCAATGGAAACACCCCAAAGAAACTTTTCTTCCCTCTACCTCTGAGTTACAGTGAATTTGAAAGCTTGATACCACAGTATTGTTACAGCTTGGAACATTTCCTTCTCCAAAGTGTTTCATCACATCGTATGTACTTTTGTGGTTTAAAAGTTCTACAGCTGGAAAGGCAGCCAGTAAAAAGAAGGGAGCTGTTTTGTGATTATCGATATAAAACTTTTTAGCTGTGCATTTCAGAAAAAGGTCTGTTTATTCAAAAAGGTTTGAAAGGTATCCTAAATCAAGAGTTATATAGCTAAGGAATTCTGATACACAAGTCAGTCAACATCCCACTAAACATTTTAAAATTTGGCATTGCTGCAATTCCTTGTGTCAGAGGGGACAGCTGCTGCAACAAAGCACAAATCCCTGCTTTGAAGAAACTGCTGTCCCTGGGGCCTGGCTGCAGCAATTCCACCCAGGAAGTGAATGGGAGGGGGTGGAGTGTGTGTGGGTTCAGCCAGTTGTGCCTTCCTGAAGGTGGGACGAGACACATTAACCTGCTAAACTCTCAGCTCCCATGGTCTTTCCTGGGGAGATACTGCACTGATGAAACTTCATTATCTGGACACGGTGAAACACTTGACCAGGTACCTGACTGCTGGGTGACCTAAGGAGAAGCCAACTGCTCTTTCCCTATAAACCCTTTTGTTTCCCAGCCCTGATGGGTGGTGCTTTGTGAAACCACCTGTGCATAAAAGCACAGAGACAGAGGATTCCAGGGAGGATAATGCCTCTGTGCAAATCAGAGGGTGCAGTCTGGGTGCCAGAATTGAAGATTAGGAAAGTATCTTTGCATGCATGGGGAAGCATGTAAAATTTTTATACACTAAGACATCTGTCTTGCATTAATGGTTGAATGAGTTCAAAAGTGTAATCCTCTTTTTTTTTATTGTTTATAATTCAACTTTCACAGCTGTTGTTGAAATGCTAATACTTAAACCATCACATAATGGAAAAGTATTCTCAGTATCAGTATGATAAAGTCTTAAAATAAAAATGGTGTGCAAACTATTAAAGAGTCTCTATTTTTATATCTTACAAATACTTACACTAATATAAAATATATTTTTGTCAAAAATGTTTATTTAGAAAGCTTCTGGTCATTCTAGTTGATTAGTAACTTACAAATGTGAATAAAATTCCAACCCATTTCTAGTGCTGAGAGGGTACATAAGAGACCAGAACAACTATTAGAAGTTTAAGTACATTTTATTAACAACGCATCCCTTTGATAAGACTACGCTTCAGGAGGCCTTTAATGCTCATTGACATGAACTGTACACAGTATACAAAAAAAAAAAAAAAAAAAAAAAAAAAAAAAAAAAAAAAAAAAAAAAAAAAAAAAAAAAAAAAAAAAAAAAAAAAAAAAAAAAAAAAAAAAAAAAAAAGAGAAAAAGAAAAAAGAAAAAAAAAACACGAAAAAAATCAAGATGGGCAATACCATTTTGGGACAAGCCTCTGTTTAAATTATACACAGCTCAATGCAATATTCTTACGTAAAATATATAAATACTTTTTCTTTCTATGTTACAGGTATACAATATAAATCAGATTTCAATGTCTGTTCAGTGACCTAAAAACACTAGAACCTCCAAATATGTAGCAGCGTATTACTAAATAAAAAAAAAGACCACACAGGACAGGGAGAATAAGTATTGAGATTTTCCTTGATCCCTTTCCTCAGATCAGAATGATTAATTTAGATAATCTCTTGTAATAAAGTTTTAGGGATGCTGACAGCCCAGTATTAGAACAATTTTTCAAATAAAACTAAAAATTGCTTGCCTTTTCCCCCCTTAGACATTGCATCTTGTGCTGAGACACCCTATTCAGTGGCAAAATGGCATGTTACATTTTTTGGCATAAATTACATTTCTCAAATAAAATAGTGTATTTTACAAAGCAACTCAAACAAAATGTGCAATTTCTGCATGCTGGCATTGCTGTCCATCTACGCTACAAAAATAGCCCAAAGAAAATCTGCATTCTTTACTGAGTATAAATCTGTTGAAAACAAAACTATCTAGGGAACCACCACCAGGATGTAAAACAAAACCCAAGGAGATTGGGGGATGTCTAGAAAAAATACAAACGTGTTTTCTAGCATGTCCCCAAAGTTCTTTCACAGTTCAGGTTTTACTCTCACCAAGTATACCTTTAATAACCACACAATACTAGAAGTGTTTTAATAGGTTTTTTTAAACTATTTAAAAAGAATTAGTTAATGGGCCTGCTTTCAACTGCCTCTAGTAAAGCTCAGAGTAACAGGACTTGTGTGCCGCCCTGCTGGGAGGTGAGCAGAACCACAGAGATGTTCCAGAGCCTGGCAACAAGCCTGCGATTGCTAAACTGGAGCTTATGCTCCCTCAGAGGGAAACACCAGCCTCCTGCAGTCCAAAAAGCCAAATACCACAACCAGGACACCACTACGAAACAGCAAACTCTTCCATCTCTCACTAGGCTATGATTATTCTCTGTTTCTTGAATAACTACCTTACTCTTCAGGCACACAGTAAAGGCCCTACAGTTTTGTTTTCAGTCTCACTGCAAATTAAACTC